GTGGGGACCTCGAGGGAAACGAAGCCGGGATACCCCCCCTACCCCCCCCGTTTTTGGGGTAAGGGAGAAAGGAAGAGGGTTTTCACCCTCTCCGCCTTCGGCAACCATCCAACACGCCCCCCAAGGTCAGCGGACATTGTCCATGATGGTCACTATTACTGGGTAGGGGTTCAAGTCCGTTATGCAAAATGAGCGAGCCAGACTGCTGGAAGCCTCAGCTGTTTCCGGCTGTGGCTATTAGCAAAATTATCGCTGATACCGTATTCCTCCTACTCCTACTCCTACTCCTACTCCTACTCCTACTCCTACTACTCCTCCTATTCCTCCTACTACTCCTACTTTTATTACTATTACTCGTACTGTTACTACTATTACTATTACTGTTAGTAGTAATCTGTTGCAAGCAAGCGCATGAACGTTCAAGTCTTGATGGGTCACGGTGTTGCAGGACCTGTCCTGTGTAGCTGCAATGCAAGCTGGTGCGTTCGTCATTTTGCTTGCGCGCAGTTGTAAGTGGATCCGAATCGTCAGCTTGCTTGGCTCTTCAGGTGGCGGAATGTGCACTGTTCCGACCCACATCTTTTTGCTGGAGGCTGGCGTTCCGGAGTGACTCCCCTAGCAGCATGTTCTGGGCCCGGATTCGGCAATGCGGTGGCGGTTTTCATTGTTCACACTAGTTTCATGATGATTTCTCCGGGGACGTTGTATGTGCTAGTCAGATGACAGCTTTCTTCACCTGTGTGAAGTGACGACCTTACATGAACCTACTGTATGGCCTTAGTTTCTCCGACAGCCAAGACAAATACGCTGTGAGTTTTCTGAAGGTTCCCAGGCCCTCCACAGACTCAGCATATCGTGCAAACTACGGACTTCAGCAGGACACCCCGTGATCCTGACAATCGCGAGTGTTCTCCGCTGGACAGGGCTTCAGTCGCAAATGCGATCTCCGCCTTCCACGAGCTCACGTTTCATGCGCTCAGGGACGGTGCCCCAGGATCCAGAGCGTGCAGTCTCTGCTGGACTATACTGTAGCTGGTCGGTAGGTACTCGTAGTGTGGGATTTTGTTGAGTTGAGGGATGGCTCGAAATCGTAGGAGTTTAGGGATCATGCTCGGATGAGTCTTCAGCTCTGGGCTCCTGTAGCTCACATGCTTTGGGTGGTTTCTAGCGCAGCTGAGCTTTTGGGAGTTCAAATCATTCTTTGGGTTGAAGCTTTGTAAGATCCTGCAGGGGTGTGATGCACTTTCAGGATGAGGGCCGAGGAATTCCATGTAGTTTGGTCAAGTTGACCACCCTAATTACAGAGGAGGATCTTCTCCTCTGAAATCTTCCTACTTTTCTATGACCTGCCAGTCCGAGGTAGACCCAGACAAAAAAGACCGGAGTAGCTGAATTGCATTGCAACAAGATCGCTCAGACAGCCACAGGGAGGTATCTGAAGTCAGCATGATTCCTGTGGAATCTGCTTGCGCGCTGCTGGACAGCCACTTGATGCTCAGAGACCTTGGAGGCAGCGGCCGCTTTTCAGCGCTCCAACTGATAGCAGCTATCCAACATGCCCAGTCATGTTGAGGGCAAGCCTCTACCTCTGCAGTGATGCGAAGCTTCTGTCTCAAGCTAAATTCAACACTCAAGGATGATAGATGGTTTTTCGATTCATGGTATCAGGAGCCCAACCACGCGCATTGACCTTATCTGCCAGCGTCTAGCCCTAAACCCTAATTTTTGATCGATTGTAAAGCCCTGAAATTAGATCAAGCCGGTCCCCTTTAAGTAGATAGAATATGGCTTTGGGTATCTTCTAATAAGATCCCCATATGACCCATATTCTATCTACTTAAAGGGGACTATAAACTCAAAGCTCCGCTCAAAGGTCCCCAACTTCAGCCTCTTGGGTGCGATCAGTTCCATGCAATTCACCTCGCGCCGAGGCCCCTGGGTGTAGATGCTAGTGCAGCAGTCGTTGTGCTATATACATATATGTACAGATATATGGTAGTTGCCATTTTAGTGTCCATTATCCCCTATATAACCCTCTATAACCCTATATAATAATATGGTAGTTTCCATTTCATTTTCCATTATCCCAATATGTACTTAGATCTCTCATCACACGGAATCCCTGTGGTTCTCGATCCCCTTCGCCAGTGCTCGCCACCTTGGGAATATAGGGATAATATGGGGATTACAGGGTATATATTGGGGTTATATGGGGATCATGGAAAAGAACATCGCAAATACTATCATGCGTTATATAGGGACTACAATAAGTTGAAGGCTGTACATTGGGAAGAGCTTTGCAGTGGCCCATGTATAATTTTGGCGCTGCAAGCTTGTGAGGTTCTTTTCCCAGCAGGCCCAAATGGAATCCGAAGCGTAGCTGTCGGGCGTTGCTTGTGTCGGTCTGTTCAAATTCGGGCCCTTCCGGGAAGTGCGGATGCTGGAACTTCACTTCATACAGACAAGCAACTCCGATCCTTTTTTCTCGTCCCTGTACTCTATGCTCTGAGATACTAGAAGGCATGTCATTGCTGTGGGGTCTTCAGGTCCGATCCAGGCTAGTAGCGATGACATTTGTATACCTAGGAGTTCTCACATTCCCGTGCCTCTTTGTGAACATAACTTTCAATTGCCCGGATCCCCTCCCCTAATACTAAAATCCCAACCCCCCTTCAATATCAACTATTCTCAAAATACTATAGAATTCATTTTAATTTTGTTTTCCATTTGATTCTCCATTATGGCCCCTATGTAACCCTAATAGTATTGGGGGCGGGTGGGGGGATTACTGTAATTTGATTCTTGCAGCTGGCCTTGCGGCCAGCATTATCTCACCACGGGTAGTTCCCTAAACCCTAAACCCATTCCCAGAACCAAGAGCCCAAGAAGATGCAGAGCTCAGAGCTTTCAAGTTCCTCTTAGAAACTCATTGGGTAATGTTAGTGTTATGCTGGGGTTATATTGGGATAATGGAAATAGAATGCAAACTACTGTGTAGGGTTTAGGGGAGCACAGATGCTGCCTTTGAAGGCGTTTGGCAGATCATAAATCCCAGAAGCATCACCACTCAAAGAAGCCTGACCCAGTGGCCAAAATCCCCCACTCCCACTAATATCAAATATCCATGGAGGGTTATTGATATTAGGAGGGGTGGGGGTGGTTTAACCTTAGCGGGAGGAGATTAATCCAGCTGAGCATGGCAGGAGAGGTCCGGCGCAGAGCCCGTTGCGCATCTCTGGGTCGACCAAATAGGTTTGGGTGCCACTTGTGGATCTGGGGCTAGGATATGGATAGAAGGGTTTAGGGTTTAGGGTTTATAGAGATATGTAACAATTCATCTTGATTCCTTTTTCTAGGCCAGGAAACATGACATATCATTGTCCTAGCTAGGATTTTTCTGAAATCTGAAGGTCCTTGTTGATCTTGTCAGACGCTGTATATGTAGTGACCGAGGGGTGAGGATAAGAAGATAGGTTTTTGCGGAAGATTTGCAATCCCTTCGCGTTTTCGCATAACCAAACGTGCATATTGCCGCCCTAATCGGCGATGTATAGCCCTCATATAGCCTATACACCAGCCTTTTCTAAATCTCATATAGCTAGACTTCGAGCTCTGCTAGGCCGTGATTTTGGAACCTTGCCTTTTTGAAATATGTTGAATTCTACGTGTGCATAAATATACATATATACATATAATAACTCTATAAAAACCACGCGGGCATTCCGTAATCAGCTTTGCGCGCAGATCCTATTCGGACGAAACCCTGAATATCCTGAGAATTTCGATTCCAAGCCATCCCCGGAGCCGTTTACCTTTTACTGTGTTCTCCGAGCCTGGACAAAACCAGTGAATTCTCGTGATTTTGAAGGTTTCGTCTGGCGCGCAAATGAAGGACAAAACGTCTGAGGATTTCGAGGGTTTGGTCTCGGACGCAATCCTGAAAATCTTGGGGATTTCTACGCTTTGGTCTGATCGGAAATTCTTGGGATTTTGGGGTTTCGTCCGATCGTTGCTCGCGGACAAAACCATGGCATTCTTCAGAATTTACACGTTTCGTCCAATCGGATTTTCTTTGGAATTTGAATGTTCCGTCCGTTTGCTGCTGCATTCTTCTTGAGATGAAACGTATTCATTCTGTCTCCTCCGTAGAATCAATCTGCTAGCCAACCATGTATCTGTAAACTTACGACAAATTTGCGTGGCGGTGGCGGCGGTGGCGGCGGCGGCGGCGGCGGTGGCGGTGGCGGCAGCGGCGGCGGCGGCGGTGGTGATGGTGGTGGTAGTGTTAGCCGCGAATTGGTAATAGTTTTGGTTGAAGGTGTAGTCTGGTAGTGTAGTATAGTGACAGTCTGAGCAGTCGCAGCAGCCGTGACTTCCGTAGTTGTTATATTGCAAGACTTCCGTAGTTGTTTTCTTGCAAGAAGTACGAATTGGTTGCCGCCATCTGTTTTGTAAGATTTTGCCATGATACCTCAGGAAGACAATGCACTTGGTCCAGAGGTGTTTGAACTCTTTTGAACTGCCGAGCTTACTGTTCGCAACCCGGATGCGGAAGTTGCAGTGTCTGGCATGCTGGCTGGTTGTGAAAAGGATATGAGACCTTCTCAAACGTAGTTTTACATAATCCCTCAGCGGATCCCCTAATTATCCTGACAATATCTCAAGGGCTCAGGCATACCCTTATTTTGACAAACCTCATATAATAGCAGACCAGCCAGCCTTCCACTCTCTTGTAATTTGGACAAGGCCTCTCTGCCGCGTGGAGGAGGAGGAGGAGGCTTTGTGTCTGTGTGTGTTTGTGTGTGTGTGTCTGTGTCAAACCTTGAACGGCCTTCTCCAAACAACAACAGCAAACACAACCACCCATTCAAAGCTTCATCATTTTTTGGTGCCTTGGGGTACATCTGTTCAAGGCCTCATCCCTTCCACAAAAGCAGTGGGGAACTGCACATCTGGCCTGCATGTCTGAATGTGCTCGGCAAACCTGCGATGGGGATGCACGGGATCTCAGCTGTCAAAAACTTGCATATTCGACTGTGTGCTCATTGGCTACAAAGAAGATCATGCGATGAAGCTGCCTCCACGGGCCTGTACGACGTAACGTCTTTACATTCCAGACCCTCAAACCTTTAGACAGTCTATGCATACCCTCAGGCTTCAAGCAGTCATAGTTGGACTTTTCACGCTCCAAAATATGCAAGTCTTGTAGGTCTAGAGCTTCACGGCAGGGGCAGTTTCTCAGTACGATCCCGTTAAACCGCTGGCCCCATACAGTCGGCCCGTTTCTGTTCCCCCCCGTCACAGTGGGGCTGTTAGATTTTTATAATCTACATTGTCCTCGCCCTCCGCGCGGGGCTTGACTGCAGTGCTCAACGGCAACGTGTCCATGCAGTCCCCAACCGCAGCCGCAGAGTGATCCTGCAATGCCCAACCACCAAGTATCCGTGCAGTGCCCAGCCGCAGAGTATCCCTGCAGTGCCCAACCGCAGAGTATCCCTGCAGTGCCCAACCGCAGATTATCCCTGCAGTGCCCAACCACAGAGTATCCCTGCAGTGCCCAACCGCAGATTATCCCTGCCGTGCCCAACTGCAGAGTATCCCTGCAGTGCCTGACCGATGAATATCCCTGCAATGCCCCAACCCAAAAGTATCCCTGTAGTGCCCAACCGCAAAGTATCCCTGCAGTGTCCCAAACACCAAGTATCCCTGCAGTGCCCAACCGCAGAGTATCCCTGCAGTGCCCAAACGCAAAGTATCCCGGCAGTGTGCAACCATAGAGTCAACCGCACAGTATGCCTGCAGTGCCCAATAACAGCATTTTTCCCTGCAGTGACCAGCAGCAACCGCAGACTAGTCCTGCAGCGCCCTGCAGTGCCAAACTCCACAGTATCCCTGCAATGCCCATGGCAACGTATCAATGAAGTCCCAATAGCAAAGTGTCCTTGTCGTGCCCAGCCCCTGCAATGCCGAACCCCACAACATTTCGCCCCTGTAGTGCCAAACTGCATAATATATTTGCAATGCATTTGCCGTGCTGCAAGGAAGACAGTTTAGGGTTGGGCATGGAAACTGTACATTTCTCGTGCAATAACGGCTTTAGGGTGGGGATGCTCGAAGTAAATAATTTGGGATGAGATTCTGTCTCTAAACGGTTAGCCTTAATCCGCGCGTGAAACATCCCCAGGAGGCGGAAGGCAGAGGACAAGAAGCCGAAGAATTCTCCATCAGCCTCTAGGCACGATGCTTTGGGAGGGGTTCAGTCAGCGGGAACCATAAATTGGGGTTTAGTATTCAGTACGCAAATCCCATGTTTGTGGTGCATAGCACAGACAGCAAGAGTTAGGGACAGTCAGAAGCGGTTTGTTGGCCCCCAAAGGGTTATCCCATTTTGGAGAAACCCGAGCAGCTGGTCTCAGCTATCAAGAGTTGCAGGGCGACTGCTTCATGACGGAGCAGACTGCGAAGGAACCTCGACAGGAGGGTCAGCTTTTGCAAGACAAGAGTTAAGAATAGGGTCTCATTTCCAAAGCCGGAGGAAACGCCCGGTGATGTTGTGAAGCGCTCGCACATGTTTACAACCTTTCCTTCAGTAGTGTTTGTTTTGCCTTTTTGCGGTCTGCTTTCCTTGCAACAGAGAATGATCTCATGAGATTTTTGGTACTGGGCTTTAGGGTATAGTGTTTCAAGGGCTTAATTACGGTGTCGGGTTTAGGGTATGCACCGTTCTTTCCGTCCGGGCCACGGGAAAAAAACTGAATCCCAAGCATGAAGACCAGTTTCTCCTCCACTTGAGCCAGTATGAAATCCATGCGGGGCGACCGTTGTGAAACCAGGGAGGATGCAGGACTTTCACTCAGAAACCAAAATGCAAGAGGCCCCAAGTCCTAACCTGCAGCACGCACTCCTCAGCTCAGGCTGATCGACACCCAGAATCTAAAACCCTAAATCCAAAACCCAAACCTTTAAATCCCAAGTCTACATTCTAAACCTTCTCTCCCCAAGGCAAATTGGGGGTGTGGGGCCTAGGACTGCACTCACGACATAGCTGCTTCAAGCAAGAGCTGTTCGAGGAGGCATCAGATCGCTCTAAAGGTTTTCTCCAAGTGAAATTGGGTTTGGGTATGAAGCCTTTGCCAGGGTTGGCTTTGTTGTTGCTTGCGGCTGGGATCGCAGCGTTTAGGAAGAAGCTGTTAGGGTTTGGCTAGGTACGGTTTGCGCCTTTAAACGGTTAGGGGCCTACGGTTTAGCCGGGCAAATGGTACCGACCGTTGAGTGATTGGAAACCGGGGTTTGGGTTCAGTAGCAAATAGACTGTAACCTATGTTGCTGTTCATACTAGACGGAATATACTTTAAGCTATACATCCAGCCTGGTTGTGGTGTCTTAGAAACGTTTGTCAAAGGGTGGTGGGCTTTCAGAGAGGGATTTTGTTTTCAGTATGGGGATTGGACTACGGCTTCAACGAAGGACGGTCCCTGCATCCTATGCAAAGACGTCGGGCTTCCCCCTGATACCCCTTCACGCTCAAAGCAAATAACAAGGGTGCGTGTCTCCTTGAGGAAACCAGATTGCAGAAGCCGGGCAAGCTCTGGAGACCATCGGCGCAGCTTTGATGGCAGTGCGAAGAGTTGGCCGTGGGCGCTCGGCAGGCGGCGGGACACCCGAGCAGCACTCAGGAGTACAATCGCCCCGGGTCTGGCCAGCGTGCGGAACTGTTCGAGGGCATCTATGACGTCAAAGCTGGGCAAACGAACACAATGCCGGTACCCCCGCACAGCGAGCAATGGCACTTGTATCTCGGTATCCTGTGTGCAGATTTGTGGCCTTCACGTGCTTCCAGCCGGCGTCTGAGGGCGGGCGCGGGCACCTGCATCTCTTCGACAACGGCAAGATTGCTGAGGAGTTGCCACTGCTGGTGCAGAAGCTGAAACAGCACGAGGTCTTGTACCTGCAATTTGGGGAACAACTCCACCGACAAGTGGCAGATGCCACTGGGCACTGAAAGACCAAGTACGACACATCCGATTTTGAGCCCGCGCAGCAGAAGGCCGCTGAGCATGAAATTTTGGGTGGCCAAGCTGGCTCGACTCTTGAGCGCTACTTGGAGGACACACCACGCATTGAATGGACCATATCGGAGGTGACCACAATCGATTCCAAAGATTACATGCTTCATGCAATCTTAGACAACTAGAAAAGTTCAATGAAAAACTCTGGATTGCCGCCTTTTCATTCTATGTTCGCAGCCACGAGGAATTCTCGGACGCTGAGCTGGATATGGATATTCTTCGCATTCTTCGCTTAGCAACAAAGAACTCCTTGTCCAGCGAGGTTCTGATGTCCCCGGGAGATGTCATCGTGCTTGACAACTGGAAGTGGGCACACGGAAGGAGGCCGTACGTGGGAAATCGCTTGCATGGCAGTGTCATCTCTGATCGGCGGCCAAGGTCCACTGCCCCGAAGCGGCGAGAGGAGCTTTGAGCTGCCGCTTTTCCAGGACTGACTCTGCTCAAAGCAAAGGCTCCCATTATCCCACTTTGACTGACCAAGAATAAACTTGCGGCCTACCAGGTCATTTCCCCCCTTTCATGTCAGGACTTGCCGGACGATGTCACGACGTGTGAGCATGCAGACGCAGATGCCCCTCAAAGCCTCCATAACCAGGAAGGAAGACATCAACTTTTAACAAAAGTTTCTGAGTATTAAGGCTGGTCTGATATGGGGCTTTTAGGGTAGGGTTGAGGGCTCTGCGCCAGTTTTCCGAGGTTGCGTCGGATGGCTGCAGAGGCCTCACAAGCCTTAAGGTCCTAGCTTTAGATGCACAGGTGGACGTGTTCATCGGCAGCGCGCAGCGGAAAACAAGGCAGTTTGAAAGCAGAACACATGCGTCTTCCCCTCTCCGTCCCTCTCTCTCTCTCTCTCTCTCTCGCCCAATCTCCCTCTCTTTCGCTGGGACAGAGGAGTCAGGTAATGTATTAAATTATTACATTCCCCAAATCAGCCTATATGGTTATATGCGCCATACAAACTTCCAGAAATTGGGCGTAAGGGGTGCAAAGCCTACTCCGCCTAAAAACCAACTTGGAATCTCGAAAGTGGCCTTACCATGGCTACTGGCTACGATTCTAAATCCTAAGCCAGAATCCCTGGACCCAGAATGCTAAACACGAAGCCTTATAACGCTTTGCGAGACATTCCAAGGCGCCTCACGTCGTCAGCTCGAAGCCAAGACGTTGCTTCGGGTTCGGTAGCATTTTGGTTGTTTGAGGTCTTGTGCCTGGCAAGACACGAGGTGTTGCACTAGGAAGGTTATTCAACGCGGGCCCATGGTGTCAACTCCGTATCCTTCAGGGCTTGTTGCCTAGTAGCTAGTGCAGAGATGCGTGGGGGAGTTTTGCCATGGTTTAGGGCTACTGGGGGCTGAGCTTGAGCTCAACCCTATGTAGTTTGTGGGGCAGGACCAGGACGCGGAAGGAGATTCAGCTCTGGGTTTCCCTATTCTCTGGCTGTGTGCTGCGAGCCTAGGATCTTCCTAGCCAGTCTTACTAACCCAGTACAGTAAAAGGAAGCCAATACCTACACATTAGGGCGCGACTGAGAGTTGGCCGACTTGTTCACTGTTTTACCGCGGGCAAGAATGGAGATGAGAGATTCAGATTTGATGAGCACGTGTTGGATTATCTTCCTCTCCGAAAAGCTTACAAGTATGCCCTCCACTTCAACTGTAAGCCCCAGACCGTATCAGTACAGGCTCCTACTTAAGAAGACGCATTTCCTCTCAAGCCTGTGGCCAAGTTTGCAGCTGCAACCCCAGACCATACGAAGTTTCCTCAAACCTGCCCTCAAACAAAACGTGGATGCTGCATTCACACTCCCATCTATGTCCCCGGCGTCGGTAGGAATCAGTTCCCACTCTCCACATTTGAGCCCGAGGCAACTTGGCTCTAGCCTTCTCCGAGGCGAGACCTCCTGCGCTTCGTGAGGGTTTCTTTGACAAGGTAAACAGTTTAAGTTTGGGTGAAGAGCCTAGGATCACTGATCTAGCATCGACCGCTTGAAGGTCTCAAGCTCAAATTTGCTTAGTTTTGGCTTACGGGGCGTAGAGCTTTGGGTCTTGGGATTTTGAGTTGAGCATTTGGTGCAGGGCACGCCTGAGAGGTTCGGGTTTGGAATCTGGGTTTGGGGTTGCTAAGTCCTGAAGTTTATAAGCATCAGGTTCAAGGTCTTAGGCACGAGGGCTTGAAGATCTCAACTAGAAGAGTCGAGGGCTTGCGGCTGCAATGCGCTTTCCACCTTTTGCAAGGTGTTGCCGAAAGCAGCCCAGGAATTTCTGCTCTGTGCATGCTGGAGTTTCTCAAAGGAGCGACCCCTACATCAATCTCCAGGGAGGCCCTTCAAATCGCCCTTCGCCCTTCTATGGGAGAGCGTATCTCAAAGACGAAAAGAACGCGACCCTCCCCCATCACGATCTCGCTATTCCCGCGTAAAGTACCTGTGCATAATATGTTGGTGCTGTTTAACTGCTGTTCAGGGGTCCTAGAACTTACAAGAGCCAGTATATCGCTGAGCGGTACTATGAACGAAGGGTGCAACATCCAAATGGGGCCCACAGGATTCCTTGTTGCGAAGTTGCTTTGCCTTCAGGCCAGGTGCGGTCAACGGTCTCTTTACGTACTCGTCAAGAAGCTAGCAACGAAGAACCGCTCAAAAGGCGCAGATCCCGAACGACGCCGTATACCAGACTGTTGCAGAGGCATCCGTTTGCGTTGTTTTTGATGGTCCTGAGCTTAGGAATTTCATCATGAGCTTTGGCAGTCCGACTTCGGGCTTCACGGCTCATTTTTCCAAGCGGGCATTTAATCTTCGGGTATACATATAGAGCCTGATGAGCCCATCCTGTTGTCTGGGTATGCAGCTCAACAGACTAGATGCCCAGAAAAGCTGGGATGGTGTCTATTGTATGCGTAAGACTGGCTTGGTAGTCTCAGTGCCATGGAAAATGGCATCCACCAAGAGGGCTATGTAGAAGCAACCGGTATTCACTGCAACCAGCAAACCCCGAACCCACTGCAAAGGATCCTGGCAAGTCTCCCTAATTGGATCCCGTGCTCCTTGACGAGCATGTCTTTTGCTTAGTGTTCAGCGTGGGTCGAGGCGTTGGCCTTTAATCAATTTTGGGGGGTATGGCTTGTGAATTTAGCACTTGAAACTCTAGAAGGAGCCGGCAGTACAGTTCAGGGCCTTTTGCCAGAAACCCAACGTTCTGGACACACCTTTGGACCTTGAAGGTCCTGCATTTCAGCTCTGACCCTCAGCGCCAAGCCGGTTTCTGTTCAAGCTTTTGCCTTTTGGGCTGGGAGTTCTGCGGTCTGAGTTTTTGGGTTTTGGTCTTGAATCCCCGCACTCAGCGCCCCGCATGTAAAGCCCCAGAGTAGTCGCACAGCCTGGGAGAGCCGTATATCCGAAGACCAAACCTGAATTCTGATTCGTAACGAATTCTGGTAATTCTCAGGGTAAATGGTTCGGGCGCTTGGTGCATGGGTAGTTGTAAGTCGGGCTTATTCTAGAAATACCCGGGAACGGTAATTACCATAGTGACCATTTCGAGCTACTTTATATCAACTTTCCAAAGGGCACTCCGAACTGCTAAGCCCAAACCCTCGGCCGCGAAATGCTGAGCTCTTGAATTATTCCTGTTGCCCCGCATCCCTCAACTCCCCCAATCGAAGCCCTTAAATAAACAAACTCGGAGCTGCTGGCAACACAGGTTGCCATCGATGTCTTCGAAGACTTCAGGCGCCCGCCTTACACATATGCCAAGGTTGAAGGTCTTGCATAGGTTTTTGGTTCCGGGTTGCGGGGCAGGCTGCATTTTCACGCTTTAGGGTTTGGGGGTTTTGATGTAGGGCTCCGGGCAGTTTCTGGCTAAGTCGTCAGGCCCACATGAAAAAAGTCAGAAGGCTAAGCTGCAGGTGACTGTGCTGACTCTTCTGTAGCCCGGGAACGGACTTTAGCATAGTTGGATATTCTCCTGCAAGTAGTTGTGGTGATTTCCTGAAGAGTTGCATCAGGGAACTGGGTTCATGTTTTACCGATCTGAGTCTGAGCCATGATAGATCGGGTCGGGGTAGAGTCGGCAAAGACTCCGAGTGTTCTGGAGCCAGGGTATGTGAACGTGTTGATGGAGAAAATGCTTGGCCAGTTGGCCAGATCTTGAATGATGCTAGGCAAGTTATTTGCTCGACCATGTGTCAGGTTGCACACTCTTGTGTTTACTGCAGCGCCTAGTAGACTCTGCACATCCATGAACAGGTTTGAACTTTGTGAAGGGTTCAGGCATGCACGCCCGAAACCAACCAAACCAAACCTTGAAGCTTGGACCGCAGACTTCTGCCATACATCGAGTTCGAAGCAGAACAAGAAGGAATAGCTCTTGAAACAATGATGGACCCCTTGTCTCTGAGTACCTCATGCCGAGTTCTGATGATCCTTTGGACATGCCCTATGCTCTGGATGGGAGTCTAGCAACCGCATGCGGCTGTACGTCTTGCTGAATGTGGCCATGGGGCAAAATTCGAAATCCCCAAGTCCCAGCATGCCCTCATGATGGCTGCACTGTACATCCGTGAGGCGGCGCAAGGGCACTTATAGCCAAACCCTATAATTAAGATGTAATCATCGACCAGGTAGTCATGGTCCCAATCTTTTAAGGAAGATATTTTTGGTGCCAAAAAATATGAAATTTGAGCACCCCAGTTAGCCCAAGATGCTAAACAATCTGAAGACTCCTTGGCTGGAGTCTACGAACGTCAGGAGCCTGATTTCAGCCGCCGGCATCTCGTTTTCGTATCGTTTTCATATTATTCTCATCCTTTCCATATGTTCCAGATTTTCTACATTAGTTTTAGCCTTTTCCAGAGTTTCATACTTGCCATAGTTTTCCACATTTGCCATGTTTTGCAAAACTTGCCATATTTGGGACACCTCCAGAAATGTTGTAAAAGATGGAGAAATATGGAGACCGATATGGATGCAACCTCCTCAGGCAGAGGAACTGCAAGCCTTTGGCCTTCATTTTCCATAGTTTCCGTACTTTCAGGATTTGAGGTTTTCATATTTTCCATATTTCTTCCAGAGAACAAAAGCATCATAGGTTTTCTAGCCCTGGCTGGGATCCCGACGGCTTAGCCCTAAAACCGAGGTGTATGGTTCTAAAGTGAACTCAGTTTCATGCAGAGTTTTGTCCATCAACCTATGAAGATCCACCAACTCCACCCACTGATCTTTCAGAAGCCTATTGGAGTTACAATGGCATGGCTTAAACAGAAGCCCAAGACTTCAAGCAGGAAAGACTATGCGAAGGAAGGGCTTCAGTAGGATTTGTCGGCGTGCATATTTTGGTAATATCATTGTTCAATATATGGAGCCAATTACTCAAGGCTGGTCGCAATTCGAGACGTCGGAACTCTGACCGGGCTGAA